TCATGTTCATAAAGCGTTAAGATTATCTTTCATTACTGTGAACACTTTAATCTCACGAAATATTGCCAACATTTCCATTGTGAGATTTCAGGTTTTTCCAGTGATCCATTTTATGTACAGTTTTTGGGTGTTTTTGTGGGCCTAGTCTAGGCTTGCTGTTTATCTTTTCCAGCTCTGAAATGACTAGCATATCTGGCCCTTGAAAGAACTGATTTTATCCCCCATCGAGTCTCACCTATGCATATCGGAATATACTCTCGCCTTAGGTGAAGGGCATATTGAATTTTGTTGCTAAGCTTCTATTTAAAATTCAAGGAAACAAATTTCATTTAAGACTTTGGAACCAAAATGTACAGCTGTCTGAAATTTTAGGTTCTTAGAGTGGTGAAGATGTTGATTGTGGTCTTTCCTGTGTTACGACAAATATCGTGGAGGAATGTTGGGCGTCCGCTACATGACCACATGTTATCACAACCCAGACAAACATAACCAACAAAACTTAAGGCTGATGATGACTGTCTTCTGGGCTGTCGTAAAGTTGGAAAAATATTAATTTTACAATGGCAGTTTCTTAAGTTACTAATTAATTATTTCAGAGTTTGGAAGACTGGCAACAGTGCACGAGACACATTATTACGCTGTTCCTAATACTGTCGCAGATATTGATGTACTGTTCATTTGGGGAACAAGTGCTCCAAGGGGTAAGTCACGAGTCAGTCTTCTATTGTCATGGCTGAAAAGTAACTTGTGTTTGAATTAAATGTCTGGTGATGGACTTGTTTAGTTTTACTTTAATATCAATTGGTAAGGAACAGGATAAGTTTTGCGGCAGGGTAATTGCATTTTTCAAGAATTTTATCAGATCCAACAGAGTGAAAATAAAGAAAGTCCAGTTCTGCTAGCTGGTACTTCCAGAAAATGTTGAACTTGTTTGGGCTGAATTAAGTTTGAGGGTGTTATTTAAAAATCCAAACATTTATAAAAACTGTGGTGTTGGAATTTGTCTGTTCATTTTTTCTCTCCTTAAAATGGAATATTTCATTATGGCTGTATTAAGAATATTGAATTGACATATGCAGTAATGTGATGTTTGTTTTGTTCTGTGAGAATGTTCCATAATTCATCTTTAGTTTTTTGCTTTTATAATTTTTCTTCAGTTCTATCTTCCCGTTTCCATATTCCTCATGCAAATTATTTGTAACACTACAACTTAATATCAAATTCACGCCTCTCTGTCCATCTGTTGCTTTGTTGAAGCTCATTTTCATTAGAGTATTTTACAGATTTTATCTTGTAACATTTATATACTATGTATGCTGTAGTATAAATAAATTTCTGTAGGAATGTGTATATTGTTTACTTAAGGTAGGCATCTTGTGAAATGTTTTGATGTCTCAATTTCATTTTAATTATAATTTAATTTTGATAGATAATCACGTGTTTTAGGGGTGGGATGTCGATCACGCTATGTACTCAACACCGTGGTACACTTACTCGCAGATGTACAAGAAGCATTTGGTTTTGGTTATAATGCGAGCTCAACGGCCTGTTGAGATCACGGTAGGCCATTACTACAGTCTGTCATTGCAGTCCTGTGAACTGGTAAGTAGACAGACACTCGCAAAGGAAACTAAAATGTGAAGGCTCAAGGTCATTGTAGAAATTTAAGATGAATGTCTTTTGGGGTGTTTTACAATGACTGATATTTTATTGGTGGTTACTTCTTGCATTGTGCATCATCCCAGAAGACAGACCTCTTCATACTTGAAGATTTCTGTCTTCTGGGTTGTAGTCTGGTCGATGTTTACCAACGTTTCAGAGGTCATACTGCCTCCATCATCAGGGCGATGAATTCATACTTCTTCATACTTGCTGCTGTGAGAACCTGACACCTCATGTTATTCCTAGTTTTCATAATAAGAAGCCAGAAGTGAAATCACACATTTTGAATCTTAATTACTCAGTTTTGTTAACAGAAACTATTAAATAATAATAAAATTGTAGCATAGAGTGTACTTTCAAGTGAGTTTGGACATTTCGATTGAAGAAAGCCAGAGATCTCTACAGTCATTGAAAAGAAAGACCCATATATGATATCACTTGCAATGATAATTACAGTAACCAAATGTAAGACCTAACAGAAATGAAGATGACAATATTTAAGTGAATTTTTGGAATATACAAGCTGAGAATGTACTACAGCTGAATCTTGAATCAGTATAAAATGAAAATGAAAACGTCGTGTCTTATATTGAATTCTCCATTATTAATTTATTTTGAAATAAAAGGATATTTTCTAGTGCTGATATTTTCTTTACAGATCATTCAAAACATATACTTCTTCTCAATGTTTCTGAATCAGATTAACAACAAATCAAAACATGCTGCTGTCAAAGGAGGATCACCTTTAGTAAACGTTGAATAGAAGCACACTGGAATAATATAAGTCATGTTATTGATTTTTACAGAAAATGCAACAAATTGAACATTGTATCATAAGAAACATCTGTTTTGTGGTGGAAGAAGTTTGATGCTAATATATTAATTAAAGTATTGCATCTGGTTTTTTGTTTATTTGTATAATATAATAAATATTTGTTTAATTAAACTGACTTCTACATCTTTGAATATATCTCTTTAATCAGGTTATTATATCCATTCTGTAGTTAAAGCTCAAATTCGTGATCGTATTTCTTCTCGTAGATTCCGGAATATCCACATGACAGTGTTATTTAAAACAGTTATCACTCAGAATAGATTTTTGCAAAAGGCTGCTGTTGTGGGGAGGCCTATAATTAATTACTTAATTAATTGATATATAATTATTTATGTTTTTGTAAATAAAATCTTTAGTCTGATACAAAAGACAGCCCTCGAATTTATTCCGTTTTTCATGTTTCCCATTCTTGTGTTTCATTGTGATCGACATCGTTCTACTTCTCCTCCTTTAAATGTCTGCGTGGGCAGCTTCAAGCACACCTGCCATCTATTGGTAGTGGCACGAACTTCCAGCAATTACGAATCGATTGTACGCTATGCAGCGCTGTGTCAGATGAGAAAATCTGAACTATTTATTCCTCAGGCTAGTGACATTATATTCTATTAGCACTATTTGCACTAAATAAAAGTAACGTAGCACCTGCCAATTGTTGTTACAATGTTATTATTACCTTTTACGGCAATAATATGTTGATTCTGATTTCAATTACCGTATTTAGTAATTTCCCTTCTGCTTACTACGGAAACAGGTCAAGAAATTATCAGCCATTTATCGAACCCAAAATTTAATCGCCGTATTCACAAGAGCCAGCTATCGTGGGCCTACCGTATTCATTTTAATAGTATCCTCCCATCTACAGATAGGTCTCCCATGTTGTGAGACCGACCCTACAGGATTTTATTGTAAAATGTGGTACGCATTTCTGTTCTATCCTATTAGATCTGCGAATAATAATACATTTTGAAGATTTCTGATTACAACTCGTGAAACCTGAATTGATGTCTGCAATATACAGGATGTGTCACAGTTTGGCCACAATTTAAAGATATTATAACTCCGAAATGAATTCGCGGCAGTCGTATTGAGCACTCTTAAAAATGTAAATTCCAAAGACAAGCTTTAAGTTTACTCCATTTTTATGTGCTTCGTATAACTGCAGCTTCGTTAATTTCTTAAAATTGTGCTGTAAAGCAGAAGTAATATATGCCTGCACTTTTATTACATGCGTATTGTTTTTCTCTTCAGCGTGCTTCGCGATTGTCATTTGTTTGGAAGAAGCATGGTATTAGTGACATCTATTGGTTCTGTGACAAGTTATAGTTCCCCGCTCTCGCCACATGTAGTTGTCGTTGAAGGTCATGTCTGACTTGTGTGTGGGAAAGAAGGGCTTCTTTAAACTTTCTTATATATTTTTTACCAGTGCGTGTAATCAGTGTTATTAATCGTGTGTAGTGTTGTAAGTTGCATTGACTGTTGTACTAGAAAGTAATACTTATTTTATCATAATCCAATTCATTTAAAATTAGACCTAATGCAATAACTTTGGACAGGCAACTTACACTGGTTCGCTCTTGAACTAAGGCACCCTAACCCTCGGTATCGTCTCAGCATTAGTTTCTAGTGTCGCCATGTTTGTATGTTGGTCTTAATTATTTTAGCTCTACTTAAACATCAACGCTGTTTATAATCATTAACAATGTAACCCTCGGGTATGTGACACATTGTTTTTTGAGCGATTTTTACGAAATTAAATGTGTAAGTTCTTGAAGTTTTTGTTTGTAAATTGTCTTTCGCAAGAATTTTGAAATAATTTTCGAAGTGAAATTTTGATGGAAGGAGCAACATAAAATCATAACTGGAATTCTATATAAAATTGTTCTTCGTAAGCTCATAAACTGTCAGTTGTAAATAGGTCTTATAGACAAAGTATAATTAATATTGGCGTAAATTTTTATATATGAAACACATATCATGCGATACGATATTTTATTGAAAAGTTTGATTTTGGAATATGATTTTATATAATAAAAGTTGTTCCCCTTAAAGTAGATCTGATATGCAGGGCGATGTTAGTAAAAGCCGTCTAAAATAATACAGTCGTGCTAATATTAAGTGCTTGAAGTGAATTGCTTAAATAAGAGACTAGATTACGATAGAAGTGAAAACTTTTAAAATTACCCATTAGACGGTTGACTAGGAAGCAGGCATTTCAGTGACGCTACGTCACCCAGAGTTGGACAGCAACACCATACGTCATTACACAACGCGCGTGGTTTACGATACCAGTAAAGCAAATATTTAGCACTGCGTTTGGTTTGTTTTACAGCGGAAAATTTTTGTTTCCAAAATAAGTTTATGCCCAAAATTAAGTTTTTAAGTTTTGTAGTTAACAAATGGAAATCTTTTCTTCAGGTATCACGTCGGTCTATATGATAAAAATGTTGCAAAATGGAGGCTGTTGAAGGGGTCATAATGACGAACTCTATAATGATTACTCTTCAAGAAATATTGTGATGATCATGGTTTGATAAATACGTATAGAATTTTGATTGGAAAGTCTGAAAGAAGAGATGACATAGGTGTAGGTAGGATAATATTAAAACTGGATCTTAGGGAAATAGATTAATAGAAGTTTTAACTGTCTTGGTTATGTAACGTCGGTCCATATAATGCTTAATTGGAAGGGATGTGGAAGGAAAGTTTCGTGACTTCTTTCGAGGTATTATCCAGATTTCAGGGTGAAGGGACCGAGTAAAATCAGCTTAGGATAAACAGTCATTGAGTCCAGATTCGAATTTAGAATCTTAAATCCAAAAACTTGCCTATATTCTATGATGAAAGTATTGCCGTCCGGATAGGAATAATAATCACTCGACGTTCGGAGGTTGAAAATTAGTTTTGGCGGTAAAAATACTTTTCTGAATTCTGCTATTGTTTGCTGATCGCCCAGTTAGGGTTTGTTTCGTTTATGTTAATTCGATAGACAGTGATTTTGTTAAAATTTCTTTCAGACTGATTTTATACGAGTTTTGTAGTGTTAGCCGTGAGAGACTTTTACCACGAAACCTCGGGGTTTGAGAAACATTGGTTTAGAGATGACTTACATAAAATATTCTAATAAACCTTCTGTTTATGAAATATGAAAATTAACTAAACGTGAAGCTTATGAAAGACGAACTCCATATTGGATGTTACGCTCTGCTAGTCAAGGAAGTACCCGTCGTTTGGATCCCGAAAGTTCGTTACCGTGTCTACAAAAGTCCGCTGTTGATCGACGTCTGAGTCAGATGTATCCAAACCACGCCCTCCAACGTCATTTCCAGAACATTTACACGGACAGACATAATGAAACAGAACTCCGGCATGCAAACGTTTCGGTTATGTGGTTAATGAGATGTTGGAACACGATAACGCAATTTCGAAGCTCTTGGGGTTGTAACCCCTTGAATTTAACACTTGCTCGCCGAAACGACGTTCCAGTGTCGGCGTAAAATTCAGACGTGTTAACGGATATTACTGGATTATTATATTGAGTGTGAGATATTAAGGATATTAGCTGGTATCCTTTTGCTGATTAGGCAGGCATATAATCTAAGCTAACGGCTTGGCAGATTCCACTCCGATAGGCTGGGCGATGCACACGTCACCCGCGGCGGAAGATTTACTGTATCGGTAAAAGCCAGAGGCTACCAGCGCACTCCCGCTTTGTCCGCGTTGGAAGTTTTATTTAGACGAGCTCGCAATTCAGTTTTATTTTTGGTTCAGTTAACAACTTCATAGAAATAACTGTTCTTAGAAACTTTATTTATTTTAACAAACGGCTTATAATTTTTTAAACTTTACACGTGCATTATTTAAACATTTATTACACTTTGCTTGTTTTGTCGTATTGGTATATTATTAAAAAGTTTTAATGTACCCGCCCTCATTAATTTATTTTGGTTGTATCATAATAACGAGTTATAAAAGAATACATTCTAATAGGATACAGCTGATTTTTGCAATCGTGATGTGTTGTGTTTACTTCGCGGTACGGAATCGATCCCTAAATATTATTAAGGATGACCGTTGTCTTCAAAAGATTAATTTCGTATATTTAGGTGACGTTTTTAAATGTAATAAAAATAAATCACAGCCGTTGTCTTCTTAAACCACTTATACATCAACATTCTCTCTGTGTCTTCGTAAACAAAAGTAAATTATTGAACCATCAACAGATCAGTGGTTCTTTGAGGTCTGGTTGTATCCCGGTGTCTGCTTGAAAATAAGATGTCGGAGGAATCACAAGGATAATTTACTCAGTAGTTATAATACGATAAAAATAAGTTAATCTACTCACAGTTTCTCGTCCCTGGTTTTATCCGTGAATCGACAGGCTCTCGGATGTAAGCACATCTCCACGTTTAATAATTAATTTACTCCAGAATATCGTGATATTTTCTCCTTTATAAAACGTTTATAAACAAAATAAAACTCACTGTTTTCGCTTTGCCACGAAATATGAGCGTCCTCGTAACTGTCGTTTGAAATATTGTCGCTTGTTGCACGTAGTGGAAAATGGCGTATTATTACTCAGATTTTAAAGTAAGGTATAAAAACCCTCGGACAGAGTTTTGTAATTTGTCTTGCTACGTGCGAGTGAGTTGAGAAGCCACGTTTGGTTTACAAACCGTAAATTGTTGTTTAAACCATACCAGTGTAAGTTGCTAGTGTTCCCTCATGTTGGGTTTTATGTTGTTTACGCTGTAACGTTAACCTTTACCCTCGAAACTTTTATTTCTAAACTTAATATATACAGTCTTTGCAACTTGATTCTATTAATTCATTCTTTATAGTGAAATTACGTGAATACTGAAGATGGTGAATTGGGTTTTTGAATTTGAAGATTCTTTGCGTAGTTTTTTTTTGTGTTTTTGGCGCGAGTAGACTCAATGTATAGACTTCGTGATGAAGAAACTACATTCGCGACGTAATCGGACGATTGTCCGGACTTTTTCGTGCAGCAAAGGCGTTGGAATGAGTGGTGAGTAAAGAAATATTTTCAACTTATCTTAGTCCTCATCCGTTTGTTGTGCGAGGTAAGTTTTAGGGTATAGATAAGTAAATGAAAGT